TGATAACTGGCAGTGCTGTTAATGATAAAAAAAAAATCACCTGCCTGCTGTCTGAATATGCTATGTATACTACGAGGGATAATAAATATATCCTAGTAATTGTTGGCTAGACCTCAAAAATCAAAAGGTTTTGACAAGTACAATCCCCAGTATGCCAACCTAGTATATTGCATTTACCAGAGGAAGTACAAATATTACATATTTGCACCAACAGTAGCACGCACACACACACACACACGCTCTTACACAATTAACAGGTGTCTACTCAAAATGTGTATTTTAATTATCCAATATACAATATGTGCAATTTTGTTTTAATATGCTTCTCATATGGTTTATGTAACAAATGCATATGACAAGTGGATGAGGGATGTTAAGTGGGCGTGACCCTAGCAACAACGACCGTAACCACAGCAATTGAATGTAAAGTGTCAGCATGCAAGCACGCAATTTTCTTTTAAATGCATTTCTCATATGGAGTATGTACATTACGGGGAAAGTTAGGTAGGCGTGACCCTAGCAATTAAACGTGTCAATTTAGCAAATAGTTCCAGTCTTGGAACATCTGTTGCAATATAAAGAACTGATGATGGACCGACCACTGTTAGTTCAGAAAAATACTTGCATGCCTCACATTGAGGTACAAATATATGGCTATTTTGCCAATTGCAAATAGTTCTATTAGAAAACTGAATCTTTGTGCATAATTTAGTAAAATACCACATCAGGTCATTTGTGAAGCTTATTGGGGTCTTAGTACAGTACTGTACTGTACTGTGAACTATTTGGTTTGAATAGACAATAGACGCACACGACTGCTGAGACCGCTGAAATGGCACTCTATTCTCTTCCATTAAATGTTCCATGATTGAATGTAATAACAGTAATCTTTATTCAATCATATCCTTGGTTGGATTCTGACACTTACACACACTCAAAATAAAAATCAAAGAAAGCTTAGAAAGAACTCCCATGTGCTGAGAGTATTGGAGACACATTAAATATAATTCGAAATTACTTAGCTGAAAACTAATTAGGCAAATCAGAAAATTAATATGAACAGATTGAAGTGTAAAACTAATGAGGTCTGCGCAATGTAACAGAAAATCTATGTTTCCAAGTTTAATTGAAATGTGATTAGAACCAAAAAATTATGAATTATTATGCTTATTAGGGAATTAATATGAACAGATTTTTACCCCAAACTAATTAGGTTTGTACATTGTCCTAGAGCATCTTTGTACTAGGTTTCATTGAAATGGAATAATTAGTACTTTAGATATCAGTGTGAAAGCTTAAAATTGGTTAATTATGCAAATTAGGTAATTAATATGTACAGATTTTAACCCACAATTATCCAGGTCTGTCCATTGTCCTACAGCATCCATGTACATTCATTGATATGTGATGTTTAGTACCTGAGATATCAGTGTGAAAGTTGGTTAATTATGCAAATTAGTGATTAATATGCAAATATATTTACCAGAAACTAATTGGGTCTGCATAATTCTAGATTCATTGAAATGTGATGATTAGT